CTTGGACCCCCTCTTGTGGCCCGGCCCTACCCCCGGAGGTTATGATAAGAACAAACTTGAATCTAGAGTATTTAATAAAGCTTCATCTTTTCTTGCCCAGTGGTTCTGGAGGAGAAAATTTTTTTTAAAGATGCTACCAAATTTTCACAAATTCTTTTAAGTAATCAAAAATCATCTCCCCTTGAAAGAGGTGTGGCACTTCCTGTGAACAAACGTAAATCCCCTTCACCAAAGGATGCTTTGTGGAAAGTTTGGTTAAAATTGGCCTAGTGGTTCTTGAGAAATTGAAAATGTGAAAATTAAGATGATGGACAACAGATGACAGATGAATGCCGGGCACTCTTTGATTAGAAAAGCTCACATTTATAGATTGATACATAAAACTTGGACAAAAAAAAAAGCAGTCTCCTAACTTTTTTTGTGCAGATTTTGGTTGAATAACACAGAATTGCAGATAGGTGTACATGTATAATTTGTATTTAACTTTGAGAAATTTATAATTTATAATCATAACAGGGTATTAACAGAAACATGGGTATTCCCCTTTCAAAAGAAGCCATTCCGTGTGACCTGTGCCACCATACAGTGGAACATTACTGCAACCTCTGCCATGTCAACCTCTGTCATAGCTGCATCCACAAGCACATGGCTAACAAAGCAAAACAACACGAAGTTGTGGAATATAATTCCAGAAAGGAAAATGCCAGTTTTCTTCCTTTTTGCAAGATTCACGAGACAGACCATTGTGAGACATTCTGTCAAGACTGTGAAATACCAATTTGCATACAATGTGTGATGGGCCATCATAAAAAGCATGATTTTGTTGATTTCAGACAAGTTATTGAAAATCGTAAACAGCAAATCATAGCCGATACCAAAATTCTGGAAAAATTTATTGAAAATGAAAAAAGCAGAATGATGAACCCAGCTGCCACATCTACTTGGGAGTTTGACAGAACAATATCTACAATAAAGGATCAAGAGGACAGAATATGCCGAGCTGTGCACAATGCAGCTAGTCACATGATAGCAGAAGTGACCAGACAGAAGAGAGAGGCGAACTGGATAAACCAATTACGGCAATGCCAGGCTGCAGAAACTATCAGAGAACTTGATGAGATCATTTGGAAGAACATCAGTATCATAAGATCCAACAATGTGGAGGCCATAATGAATTACCAATCCAGAAACTTCCCCCTGGATCCAAAAGAACAACAGCATCTGCATCCAAACTTCATTCCTGGTTCGATAACACAGAGCAAAATTTTAGCTTTGTTTGGTTTCCTTCAGTGCAATACTGTACCTGAGTATCTTGATCTGGCCATTATACAACACGGAGAGAAATAAATCAAACTGGTCAATGATGAAATGCTTAACCCTGTACTTGTTATGAAGTCTGCATAATTTTCTCTTATCCACATGACATATATGTAAAGACTCGTGCTTACAGAAACACACAAATGACAATGCTTTGATCGTAAACTTAACTTGTGCCTTTTGCTCAGCAACAGGTCCAAGGGCCACAATGCTCACCCAAGTCACATTTCTCTTTTGTGGAAAACTGAAGGCCCTTGTTGTAGCCCTAACTGGAAGTCCACAATACGAACAAAGTTATGGTAAAGTAGGTGTGTAAGATAATTCTTTAGTTCATAACAGTTGCACCTGAATGATGACGGTACAGCAATGTACCTGATACTAATGTATGCTAAACATATTTATATAGTATCACTTCACTTAGAGTGGCTCAATTAATTTACATAAATATGTTACTGAATGTCTTCACAAATCAAAATTCTAACTCTTGTATAATGTGAAATTCTTCATTAAATTTAAATACATTAATGTATGTAACCATGATACTGATATTATCTTTTGTTTCCGCGTACTTTACATGAATTGTGGTTTTTACTACACAAGTCTCCTTGTGTATAACGTCTTATTAAAATCATTAGAGTACTGATGTTTATAAACACTTTCATGGAATGTATTTCTATTTCTAGTAACCATGCATATCAACTCTGTTGAAATCACAAAGCTTTATACAGAATTTTGCATTTTAATATAGTCTACTTGTGAATCAGGTCTCATTGAAACTGTACCTGTCAGTCTGTCCATCTGTCAGTCTGTCTGTCACAAAAACTTTAACCTTGGTCATAACTTTTGAATGAGGAGAGAAAGGGCTTTCATATTTCACATGTACAATGCCTGCGACCTTTCCAAATATACTATGTTTTTTGACCCATGACCATGACCTTGAAGTTTGATCTACTTTTCAAAGATTTTAACATTACATTAAATTGTTCCTAACTTTTAAAAGAGAAAAGATGGGCTTTCATATTTGACATGTGTGTTACCCGTGACAAGACCTTTCCAAATATATTAGGATTTTTGACCCCGTAACCTTAACCTTGAAGTTTGACCTACTTTTCAAAGAATATGGGTGAATAAGGCGGGCGAAGTGCCTATCGAGCGACAAACACAAAGTGAAAAATAAAATCTCCATATATGAAAATTTTCTTTGATATTTCATCTAACATTAAAGTATACTTTATGTAAAATCTCTACAATTTACAAAAATCTCACAAAGACTTAAATCATTTGCCTACAAAATAGCATACACACACTAAAGAGAACAAAAAGGATCATTTTCTCATACTTTAACAACATTTTTGATATGAGTGGGTCTTTGCTCCATTTTTTTGAAAGTTAATCCTAAAAGATTGCATAAAAATATACATTTTTTGGTTTACAAAAACATGGAGCAAAGACCCGCTATACCTTAAAAGTACACTGTTATGACAAATCATTCGCATCTTTCTGTAAAATACTTGAAGTCCATTTAGTCAAGGGTCATATCACAAATATGATTTAAATGCCACTGTTCATCAGGAGCTGTGTAGTGTAGTGGTTAGCGTGTTAGTCTCAAAGCATTATGATTTTTATTGTTAGGCGTTCGAATCCCACCAATACCATTTTATATTTTTTAATATAGGAATAATTTTTTCCGAGATATTTTTTCTCAGAAAAGTTTTGTTGATCATAATTGCATAAAATTCAATAATAAGAACTTTACTTTAAATACTTAATTCACATATTGAATATGATTTTTTTAATATCAGAAGCTGTAGGCATTCTGCATGCCTTGTTCACCCATCTTCTTTTTATCTTTGCTTATAACTTTTGATTGAGAACATATAGGGCTTTCATATTTGACATGTGCATCAACAGTGAGAAGGTGTTTCCGACCATGCTATGATTTTTGACTCCTTGACCTTGACCTTTATGTTTGACCTAATTTTCAAAAATTTTAACTTTGGTGATTACTTTTGAATGACATATGATAGGGCATTCATATTTGACAAGTGCATTACCTGTGTCAAAATGTTTCTGAATGTGCTGTGATATTTGACCCCGTGACCTTGACCTTCAAGTTTGACCTAATTTTCGAACATTTCATCAGTGTTGTTAACTTTTGAAGGAGCAAAGATAGGACACTTCAAATTTGACACTTGAATTACCTGTGACAAGCATTTCCAAATGTACTATAATTTTTAACTCCATGACCTTGAAGTTTGACCTAATTTTCAAAAATTTTTAACATTGCTGATAACTTTTGATTGAGAGAAGATATGGCATTTACATTTGACATGTGCATTACCTGTTTCAAAACCTTTCCAACTGTATACTCTGGTTTTTGATATTTTTTTCACATGTGCATTACTTGTGACAAGACCTTTCGGATTGTATTATGAAATTTGACCTCATGACCTTGATACTGAAGTTTGATGTAGTTTTGAGAAGCTATAATCTTTGCCATAACTGTTATTAATTCAATAATTGATGTCTTTTTTAATAATGCACAGACAAGACAGGACACATGAACAAGACAGTTATAATATGCAATAAATAATGGCATCCCATCCACTAAGACACCGAAAGCAGAGGACCACAATTCTATGAATTTACTTGTTTGTTTTTTTTTTATTTAATTACATATTTGAATACAGAGTTACAAATTTAAATATACATACCTTTTTGATAACTGAACATTAATTTTGTTGTTGTTTTTTTTATTTTTATATTGGAATTTCTGTGTCTCTTCATTCAAAGGCAATTAATTTTTTGGATTCATTGACAGAGTGATAACTTAAATTAAGAATTAAAATAAATACAACTTTTTAAATTGATTTAGCCTGGCTTAGCTGATAATCTTTTAAGAAAAAATATGTTTTGATTTCTTAGATTTATTTATTATCATTATTTTTTTTCTGTAAATGCATATTTATTTCAATGATTGTACATTTTATTTACTGTAATATATTGTAAGTACTATCTAAACACATTTATTGCTTTCAAAAATAATACATGAATTTGTACAATTATTTAATACATAACCAACTGGTTAGCAATTAACATGTCATTGACATACAAGAATGCTTGGGTTTAATTATAAACAAGGCTGTGCATACAAAATTATCAAATTAAATGGTGTGCATGCATTAAAAACAAATGGGTTGAAAGGTGTGTGTTTTCCTGATAACCTTTGTTAAAGGTGGATATATCCAAGATTTTTTAACATTATTTTTTTTAATAATTACTGTTGGAAGACCTTAACAGATTTCAAAATATATACCCGTCTGTTGAAATTCAAGCATTTGAAGTTGGAATATCACAGCTATCATCTTATGTGTAAGTACAGACATAACAGAGAGATTGAGACAGAGACCATTTAGTAAAACTTCACATTGATTTTGTATTCTTACAGAGATGCACCTTTTCACGAAGTTTCATGATGATGTGTTTTGAATTAAAATAGATCTGCAAGGTCGTTTTGAGAAATAGGAACTCGATCTTTCCACGGAGACAGACAGACTCCAGAAAACAAAGTGGTCTCTATGTGTCTGACATGTTACACTGACAACAAAAAAAACCATGAATGAAGCCTTTGGCACCACAGCTATTAATTACACTAGATCAGGACAAGAGCTGATATATCTTACCAGATTGAGATACAGTTCCGTGTCGTACTTGTAACTGAGGGCTGCCTTCACCATAGTGGTTACTGCCTCAGCTCCCCAGCACCGCATCCCCTGGTGGGGGTGCTGACATACCTGAAAGATTATATGTCAAAGGTTATAAGAAATGTCAGCTACAAAACATTTTCTTTTATAAGTGTCCATAACTCTTAGAAAATATTATTTGAAATATTCAGTTGACTATAAATTAAGCTTCATGGTTAAAGGAAACTATCATATGTTCCCTTTCAGTGAAAATAAAATCATACAGATTTTGAAAAGTTTGTAATGTTTTTATTTTCACTTTCTGTACATGAGAAAGTTGTTGGAAATGCTCTGCAGATTTGCATGAAAAAATGAACAACAACAAAAATCTATTATAATTTAGAACAGGTGAATTATAAATTGCACTAGAACTAAGACAATCCATTCTGATGAATTATGTCTCATTTGAACACCTGAAATAGAAAATATATCATTTTAATGAAATATTCTTAATAAGTGTTTACTAAATAATTTTGAATAATGGCTGATATATTGTGTTACTGATACAAACTAATAGTAAAACACATAGAAGTCACAGTTACAATCTTAAGCCCAATTACTGTATACAGGGTTATTTTCGCCCTTTCATACTTGCGAACAATTTTGCCCCATTTTAAATTCGCCCAGTCACAATTTTGTTTAACAAATTATACTGTGATTTTTTAATTCGCCCCGTTTTAAGTTTGCCCACTTGTGTGTAGGGCGAAAGGGGCAAAAATAAAAATGGGGGCGAAAATTTCCCTGTATACAGTACCTTTTTTTGACCTGAATATTTCAAGATCACCTTTAAATTTTAGTGAGAGTTACCTGTCCTGGACCATCATGAAGCTGTGATTCACCAGATCATTAAATCATATCAGACAACTATAACAGCTAGCACATATCCAATTCTGCAATGTAAAGCAATTTTTCTCCTCTATTTTTTCCCAGAATATAACAAGAAAAAGTTGCTTTTGTTTTTTCCTAAAATCTACAATTATAATTGATGTCCAATAATATCAACTACTGTAGATTCCTTATATTACACAAGTACTTAATATCACGAAAAACTCTCAGACGTCAAATCACGAGAATATTAAATCGTGAGTAGGTGCTTGATCAGTAGATTTTATATCGATTTCAGTAACATAAAAATAAAATCGAGTAAATTTTATTTCGCGAGTGGAGCTCCTTCCAAAATAACATGATAATTAATTCCTCGCATATATTTAGGAATCTACAGTATAAAAAATGTTTTAATGTACATGTATTGTAAATTGAGAGCTTTCCTTGAAGACCTTTTTTGGTGGCAGACTGGAAAACACAGAGCTGTGGATGATTCCCTGGTGGTGGAAAGGTGGACGTATTGTATGGCAAGCGATTGTAATCATTCATCTTTGATGGTCTTTCTGAAAATTAATTACATATTATAATTATTGTACATGTATATATATAGATAAAGCATGTGATAGCTATGCAAAAAATTGATGAAAAGAATCTCTCATGGTTTGTGATTAGAGATGATTTTTATCCAACTTGCATTTTTTTTATCCTGTTGCCAAAACTTGCATGGACACAGTCAATTCTTTGGATAAAAAATCATATCCAATCTTAAAACAATAGGAGATCCTATATACATGTATATATATATATTTTTTTAGAGTTGAAAATGATAACATTAAATAAAGTATATTATATACAGATCCATATAAAAATGTAAAAAGCATTGGCTAGCAGCACTTAATACTTTTACTAACCTCTAAGGATAACATACTATATACTTCCCATAAAAAATATCTCCAAGGTAACAATTTAAATATATCACAATACACCCTAGCTAGGGCTTCAGGAAGAGGAAAGTTTTTTTTTCCAACATGGAGTACACATTATTTTAATTCTGAGAGAATTGTGGGACAGATTATTTGTACCTTTGAGAGTTATGCTCCTTTGTACATGTATAAAATATTTAGATACCCTTCATTTCACCATAATATTTTAGGCATTAAATAACATCAATTAATTCAAGCTACATTCAAACTTGTAATAGAGACGGCTTATATAGGTAATTTCTGCTGCCCAATCCATTTATGTTCTATTATATACCAGTAATAAAAATATGTTCAAATCAAATCAAACCTGTTATCTCGAACTCACTGTGACCAAGAGGAAACTTTAAAATATCCAAAGATTTGAGATCTTGAGGTTAAAATGCATAAAAAAAGTGATTAGGACTTTCAAATCACTTTGACATATACATGGTTTTCGATATACATGTATCAGTGTTCTCTGTATTTTCACTGTATTTCAAGAATGCTTAAGAACATATGCAACGTTGAATTTTATGGAGTCACTCATTCCCTGTATAAATTTAAAAGTTCCAATCATTGAAAGACTTTTGTGAGACTTTCATAAAGCCTAATGATGCTGTACACCTCTTCTAAATCAAATAGTAAGGAAATACCAGCTAAAACTATATTTTTGTAAATTTTTCTTCAAATAACGTAAGGACTTTTATCATTTGATATCTCTTCAAACCCTTGGTAAAGTATGCCGATTTTTTGTATATGAGCGTTTGATGGTACTATAATTTTAAAAATTAAGAATATCTTGAAAAACTATCAGTAAGTAATGTATACTACATTTTAAGATACATGTATATGTACGTTGCATACTTTGACCTTTATAAAGTGAACCTAGCTGAGTTACTGTTTATCAGAGGTATTATTAAGTTCTTAAAAATTCATTTCAAATGAATTCTGCTTTGTAGCTTTCAATTGTTGTATGCATGACTTTTATTTTTTTTTCTTCCTTTTTTTCTAAATAGATTAAGCCTTCATGAAATATTACTTCCACAAAATGCCTTCATATGATGTAAAAGCAACAAATTACAATGAATGGCTTATTTGACAGACTGATATTATATTCAAATGGAAATAAAAAACTAAAAACATGATGCATCCTATCTTTAATAAGATTGCAAGACATCATTTGCAGCGATCATTTTATTAAATGTTGGATGTTACTGTTGATGGCAATACATTTTTTTTATTCCAATTACAAAAAATATAAATTGCTCATTTTACCACAATTACAATGGATTACATTTTGAATTTAACAAAGCCCTCATCTTGCATGATAAAAATTATTCATCAGTTTGAATGTAATAAATTCAGAGGTTTTTCATGTTACAAATGACAAACCTTTTACGTATTATATGCATTAAACCCCAAAAATACCTTGTAAACAGAGGAAATCAAGACAGTTGTCCTACAATCCTAAAGGTCTGAAATTTCGGGTAATAACAACAACCACGATAACTTTACTCATTAAATTCAATTTACCCGATACTTTAATTATTTGCAATATTTATCCATTTAGAGGCCCAGTTTAGGTGATTACGATATTATTTTAGAGATGAATAATAGTCTCTGATTTCTAATTGTTGCAGCCATTTGATCATTTTATTCCAACAGACATTATCCTTAATGACAAAAATCACGAGGATTATTTTGCATTCAATACACCCACAGTCTTTAGATGCTGGGACAGGGTTACACAATTCCATCTTGATATTCATATCTCTGTGTTTAAAACATTTCATTCAAACACAAACCTTAAATTACATCCAGCATAATACATCAATACTGTAAAGTGTTAATTGTTTTGGTTAATTTGTAGAAAGAATTGAGAAATGTTGCAAAAAAAAAAAAAAATCCAAAGTAATTAATTTAATTAATCTCTAAAAGTTGGAAGAAAAAAGTTCTTTCTTATATGCCATTTAAAATCAATTAACATTTAGTCTAAATTTCTAAGAATCATGATACATACAAATGCTTTAATAAGCTTTGTTTATGATCTCACTACAATGTAAATTTTTATATCCCTATTACAAATTTGTTAAAGTATATATAGCAAACTCGCAATATATGTTCAGGGAAGTATAAAGCACAAAACTTACCATGGGATATTCACACAGAATATCTTCAATTTATCTTTAATCAATTGTGCCAGTCAAATATATACACGATTTATAAATTCTAACTCTGTCCACAGACGTGTAAGGGGGAGCGTACGTTTCACAGTTAATTTTTTGTTATTGTTCGAAAATATGTATATCGGACAAGTTAAAGGTATAACGTTATCAAATTGCAAATGTTCAACATCATCACAGCATACTGAAGCTCAAAGAATAATCCAGATGCTTGAATCAAACAACAACGGTAAAAAATCTTTACGTCATGTGAAAAGTTATGACACTTTCCCTGTCATGTCAGCTCAAGTATGCAGTGAGTTGACGTCATATGCTATTATGATGTCATATCTAGGTTAAGTTCAGAGAAGTTGCTACAGTTGGAACAGTTTGATATTTTATGGACAGCCTTATCTAGCCGCTTAGACTGAAAACTCTTTTGGAGGATTGTTGGAAACACTTATTAATAAAATGATAAATAATCATTTCTAATAATTTCATTATTCATTTTTAGCTTTGAGGGTTAATTGGGGAATCATATTTCTATTTGATTGTCAGATTCTATCACAGTCTTACTATCCATTGATGTTCTTTTTTCTTTGCAGGCAGTAAATAGTCCCTTAAACTTATAAGTGACAATAGCCAACAGAGTCCAATATACTCAAGGATGATTTGTTGCAATAGAGTACTCACAGTGTACTCATGAATGACTTGTTGCAATAGTCAATAGAGTCCAATTACCGGGTATCTCAAGAATGACTTGTTGCAATGGCCAACAGAGTCCAATTATCCCAAGAATGACTTGTTGCAATAGCCAATAAAGTCCAAATACTCAACAATGACTTACTGTAATTAGCCAAAAGAGTCCCATATAATTAAGAATGACTTGTTGCAACAGCCAATAGAGTCCCATTACTCAAAGATAACTTGTGCAATAACCAATAGAGTCCCATATACTCAAGAATGACTTGTTGCTTTAGCCAATTAAGTCCTAGCTAGTAATATAGTCAAAGACGACTTTTTGCAATACCCAATAGAGACCCATATACTCATTGATGACTTGTTGCAAGTTCAATTGAGTCCAATGGTTTTAGGAAAAGGGTTTAATGTATGAAAAGATTTGACTTTTGAATCTTAGGCCTGAGGCCTACATTTAACTCTTAATCTGTGTTTTTACATGGATGGAAATTTACTGCCTTACCTTTTTTCAAAATTATTTACTACTAGCAATTTAAACTAAATAATATGAGGTTACAATTCAACAAAAATCAGACTTGTGCAATTAAAATCATTCACTCTTGATAATTTCTAATACTTCATACTTTCATTGATATTTATGCATAACTCTGAGTGTTTATAATATTATCTTGTTATAGCTATATTGTTGAAATGAAGAGATCTTTAGTTCTTACTAAATAATTCATCCTGCTTTGACTTGCCTAGGACCTGCACTGTTGTGACCCTAACCCATGAACAGATAAATATGGCCAGTTCATTAGGGCTCCAATGTCCAACATTATGCAGTGCAATCATGTACAGAATAAATATCTATTATCTTATTTATTTTTTTGAATTCATGATTTGGACATATCTCATTAACTTTGAAGACTTTACAAATAATGTAGGTTACTATAATGAGGTAGGTAATCAGTGCAAAATACATTTCTCACACCTGTGTCTCGATCTATTCAATAATAGTGTTAACTGTGATGCTCTGATAACAGCTTCCAATTCCAAATAGTAATTCTTCTGATAACCCAAATTTTTCCATGACCATAGTTAGAAATTAAGTAATTTAAACAATGTATCATTTAAGAGCTGTAGTCCGAAGCCCATGCAAAATACACAACTCTTTCAAACCACATAATACTCATTACATATGTCATTTCTTATTGGCAGTCTTTAAAATGGCTTTGGTACATACATCAAACATCTGACTTCACACTTGTGGCAGCAATCAAATCTGATGGAAATAAGAGGAAATGACTGGCCTGGGGGATTATGGGAATTTCTCATTAGTGTTGGAATTTGTAACTTATTCTTCCCTGAAAACAAATGAAGAAACCAAATCATGATGTCTTTTTTGAGGGCTTTTTTCACAATGCCCAAATAAAGAGGTATTCCACAATTACTACTGAAACCTCATAGGGACTGAAGCTCTATGACTTTATACAGCCAGTTTCATTAGGAGCAGTCTATGTGAATTCTTGAAAGATTTGAAGAGACAAATTTAGTCAATTCTGTTGTGACTGACAGTTATATAAAATACATGCATGTGTTTCTTGGGCATCTGCCAGGTATTGGTGGTATATATTTTTTATGACATCATCAAAATGGTATCTTTATTAAGAAAAACAATGTTGTACATGACTACCTCAAATAATCACCATATTGGTACAGATAGCTCAATTATTAACATACCAAAGACAACAAATTGTGTGTATAATTATTATGTACTTATTTTCCAAGACTTTTTTTATTTGATTTTTTTTAAATTCCAAATATATTTTGATGCATTTGAACAAATTAAAATTATAGATATCTTGAACTCACTTCAAAGTTTGTTCACCAGAGTTACAGTCAGGAGTAAAAATGTTGACAACATGACTTTCAATCATTGGAATTTTAGGCAGAATTTCAACATAAACAGGAACAAAGTGCAGAATTTTTATATGAGCATCCTGTGACATTATGACATATTACAAGCTGTTCTATATGTTAACAAATATCATTTATCTGCCATCCTCAGATACCCATAAGTGATCTCGTCTCGAGATCACCCATGGGTATCTGACGATGTTTATCTACATGTAATGATATGAACAAATATTTTTGAAATATGCTTGTGTTTGCTGTCAAGT